TCCGATCCCAACACTGCTTCAATAACGCAGAATTTAAAACTCCTGAATCGACTCAAACCGTAAATCTATCGATGCAGTTCAGCATTTTAGTTCGATTCACACGATTAAGTTCTCTTGGATCTTCAATATATCCAGAATGATGTAAATGAACAAGTACATATTCGTTACTTTTCTCGCGCTTGCTAAAATATAAACTGTATAAAAAAAACGTACATATTTTTGCTCTCGCACAATTATCATCTAAACTAATATGTATAAATCCATTACCTTTTTTTCTCCGCTGATCAAGGTTTATAAATGTATGTTTATCCGTTCGTAAAATAAATATAGCAATTTATAATTATTACTTCAAAATATTCAATTAAATTATCTACTGTTGTAAACCATTTCGATTATACAAATATAAAGTTAAAATCAAGATAATGTGAAAAACATTACTTTCAAGTATTCTTACAAAAATACTGCTAAAACAAAAAGTTAGATGCAATATTAAGGTAGAAGAACGCGCGAGAATAGCCGCAGAACGTTCATTGTGAACCAGGTTAAAAACGGCAAAATGAAATTTCTACATTATTTCACACCGTAACTTTTATCGGAGAGTTTAAAGCTCGTTCTCGGCAAAGCTTTACGAATTCCTTACGATATGAATCAGGAGTGTATCCAGTAAGAAATTCTTATAATGGTATTGAATCGTTTTCGTCGATATCCGGCTCCGTAATTTATTAATCATTGATCCTTTCAACATTTTAAGTGCGATTAAATAATGTTTACTTTGACATACTTTCGATTTCAATTGAAGTCTCTCACGCTTGCGTTTTCTCATGTTCCTCGTCGATGATGCGATATAAAAACTTGTGTTCAACTTACCGGAAATTTATAGGCGCCAAGCTTACCTCACAAAGAACGATCCCGTCGTCGTCGCTTCACTAGAAATCCCAACCCGTTTTCTCATCCTTTATTCACCTGCGGTCTAGCGTACTCTTTCTCGGGGGTTGAGGCGTGTATAGCCACGAGGGGGTAGTTCCCCGGAATATCGCACGAACGACCGTGGCACCTAGAAAAGCGGGGGAAGCGGGCACGCTTATTACGTGCACTGGAAGCAAATGAGAAGCTATCGCTGCACCTCCAAATCGGATTCTCATTAAAGTCCTGGTTTCAGCGGAAATCGCGTTTTATTGGATCTTTGATTGACGAGATTACTGCTGAAATGCAAGCACCGATACCAAACGCGGTCTAATCGCCCAATCACAATGAGCCTTTCGGACGTTCCTTTATCCAATGTTCAAATAGCTTTCCTTTTTATCAAATTAAAGTAGCTTCCGATCAATATAATCTTTCTAACCCTTTGAAAAGTATAAACTATTTAATATACAAATCTGTATTTACTTTTTAAATTCATTTTGTACTTATATTAAGATTCTGTTAATATTTCCGCAATTTAATGCTTTTCCTAATAGTTTTGACAGCTGATTTATGACACGCTTAAGAACAATGCAATACGATAGAATAATGACGTCGGTATCAGCCATTGCTGTTTAGTTTAAGTAGGTAATCACCTTCCATTGCCAAGCGACGAGTAAATTACCGCTTCGCCGCAATGCGCCATTATTTTGCTGGGATAGTAAAAATTAATCGGCTTAGGCATCAAGTTGCATCGTGAAAAACGAGCTATATATATAGACGAGGCACTTGTCTTCATAAGCAAATTAACTCACTAATTACTTTACTCGAATTAACTCCAAATATTTCCATTTATTATGCAGCAGAACTACATTTGAATATGCTTCAGTCTCGCAAACCCAGCTGCTTCAAACTTGTCGGAATTGGAATTTGAAGATTGAAATGGTCTGCTTTAACACGCAGTTATTGGAAATGTCTTACTTCACTGATTTTTATTGTGCAGCGAATTCGTATTTAGAATGTCAATGATTTTGAAGGTAAGACGCAAAATCGATCAAATCAGCTAGTGCGCCTTTTAAATGCTTAATGATAATCTATAATAATGGTCAAATGCTGACTAATAAATGACACAGTGGCCCTTATACAAAAACGATTCGCGGAAAGATTAATTCCAGTCTGTCAGTTTAAAATATATATAGAACCTGCGCCAGATTAAATTATGACGGGCTTTATTGATATCTCCCAATATTTCCTAACAATAAGCGTAAAGCTGATAAATTGCGCTTTAAATAATATCGAATCGTCGGGTGAAACAATGAAAATTCGCAAATGAATGTTTTATGGGTTATACGCAAATTTAATGTCGTATCACGCACAGCCTCACTAAATACAACTAACAACATGAAACGATATTGATCGAACGTAAATAAATATGTATACAAATATGCCGAGTGTTCGTGTGCGCGCGCGCGCGCGCGCGTGTGTGTGTGTGAACGACTCGACAGTTTTACATATGGAAATATATATGCACCGAAGTTATACTTTCCTCACTCACTTGTAAAGCTAACACGTTGATAATGCACGCACGTTAATTAACTTTTATATTTTATAATCCATATATTTTCGTTGTCAATGTAATTTTATGCATGTCCAAAAATAAAACTTTCAATACATTTGTAAATTGCATTTATATAGAATATCGCGCTATATACGATAACATACAATTAATTATAATAAAAAAGTACAAATTTATTTAATTCAATACTGCGTACTTTATTTCAAAATTTAATAAACCAAAGTAAAACACTGTACATTTGACACAAATGTACCTGTAAGGGAAATAAAAACGCACGTACACCGATTGCACTTAACCGTGCTGGAAGCATCGATCAGACCGATTCCCAATCCGATAGCTCGTAAAGCGTATAGAGTTCATATATTTCGTTGTCTTGGCAAGGAAGAGGGGAGAGAGAGAGAGAGAGAGAGAGAGAGGAAAAGAAAGGTGCCAAGGCAAAGGGAGAGCGCTTTCCGTGTTACGACATCCAGCTGCAGTTTGAGAAAAATGACCCGTCTCGTAGTTTCTCCCTCTCGTAACGAAAAATCCCGTTCCCGGCAATATATCAGATCGCGTCGCGTCTAAAACCGATGGTGCAACTTTTGTCCAATAACGCGATACGTAAACGTCCGTATACACGGCCCAACGAAACCCATCCAGAGTAGATAGATATATTTGTGCGAATACCCGGGGAACCCAGTCCGAGTTCTATCCTTTCGGCTCCGATCTCTACGCTAGAACAGTCGGTAGACATTATTCTTTCGCGAATTGCCGATGCGTTTCAAAAGTGGCTCTTTGTCGTAACCAGAAACGCCGTGAGCACTCACGAGACTCCGGGTGCAAAACATCGTATAAAATCGAGATAGGAAAGCAAGCAGGCACGCTCTCGGCTCCGTTGTCCGATTCCGCATCGCCGAACGAAAAAGCCAAGCATATACGCGCGTCTAGTTTTTGTTCAGGAACATCGAGAGATCTAAAGAGATTTTTTACTATCTCAAACAGCTTCGAAAAGAATAAATATATGTACAGAGATTTTAGCGTTACACGTCGCGTCGATATGATGACAGAATGAAAGTAGAGCGTGTCAGAATTTTATCGTTTCCCTCTGTACTTGTATCTCGCACTATTTCGACGGAACCGTGTCTTTTTCTCGTGATTTTATTATTACTATTTCCCCGTCGTAATTTTTATCTACTAATATTTATATATATAGAACCTGCGCCAGATATTACACGTGAACCTCTAATTTATACGTTTACCGGCTTAAAGACAACATAAGAAACAAGATAATATTGTGACTGTGACAATAAGTTGTAACATAAATGACGACTACGTGTGCGAATGTCACTGTTGAATGGAAGGGCGACCCTGTGGGATCAGTACATGCGAAGAAAAACCTATAATATAGCTCACACATCAAGAGAGTTTTTTTTTTCATTTTTTTTTCCTATTGCGTCGTATAACGTTCGGAAGGGAAAATGATATAGGTTAAAAGTACGTGAGCGAAATATTTTACGCGCGTCCCCACGGCCAGTCGGAAATACGGAGTATCGTCGCGAGTTCCTATTCTCGAACGAAACCGACAGACTCCGACAAAGGAAAAAGATCGACCTCGGCGAGCTATATCGCGTTTTTACAAAGAATCCCTCGATAGATATATGGCCGGTATCAGAAGCCACATGCGTGTTACACGAGAAGATATAGGGCTTGGTGTCCATTGGATAACACAACCAAAAAGAGAGCGCGCGAAATTGTATTGGCGATACAAATTGTAGATTGATGTATTGAGTTATTGTGTTATTAGATCGATCTTGTCCCTTTCTTTTCGAATTAAAAATTTATCCGATAATTATCATGTAAAAAAAATAATTTTGTTGAGATAATAGATTTTATATTACCATAGCAAAATCTATCAATTATTATGTGGGCAGCGAAGTGATTTGTTAAGATGTTAATTTTTTTGCTAAAATTACAAATTATTCTGCTAAAAATAATGATAGAATAAATTAGTTTTCGTTCAGTTATCAGAGCTTTTTCGATGAGAATAAATTACTGAATAAATTTAAAAGATATGACAATTAGACACCATTTATTTGCACTTCCAAGGAGGCGAATGTGACGAAAGGATAAAATGCGTGTCATATTTTTACGACTCTTTGTAATGCGCGAAGCATATGGTACTGTGGCGGCTGTCGCTCCTTTACGGCACTGGCTTCTACTTTGACGTTTTTGGTATTCAGGCCACGCGCGTCAAAATCACCAGGTGGTAAAAACTCGAATAAAGGGCGAGTGCAGCGACTCTCGAGATGTTACGATACTTACAAATCTTTACCGTTGTTATAAAAGAAGAAAAGACGAAAAGAATGGAATTTAAAGAAAAAGAGAGTAAGAATTTTCATGTCATTTCATCTGTAAGTATAATAAAAATCAATGAACTAAAAAGAAATATACAAATTACTACAAAACCTTTGTTACATCGAGGAAGCAAATATTTTTGCAAAAAGAAGCAGCTAAATCTAATCAAAAAGAAACTTTATTCCGTATTACATTTCAACAGAAAGATCAACAATTTTCTTTATTTCTGTCGATAAGTTTGTCTTCTTTTTCTCGCGACACACACGAGTAACTTTTCCTCGATATTAGCTCGTCGACATGGTTTTTCATTAAGAAATAACGCAAGTCAGCAATATTTCCAAAGGCACAATAATTCGTTTCCTCATGCACTGTTTATACCATTCATATACCTTCTTCATGGAGCCTCTTTGACGAAGTAACTCCACAAGACGGCTCGACTGCCGAAGAGCTTTCGTGCTCGTTTTAATGAGCTTACCCTGAAGGCTTCTGACGTACGTCTCGACGTCGATGCTTCTCTTAACGCCTACAGCCAGTTTTCGTAGGCCGTCCTCTAAACTCCCGTAATCATTTTCAACTTCGCAGGGTTGACTGCTTTCAGTCGCGTAAAATAGCCGACATTTGTCACCATCACGTAACACCTGGGTGGAAGGAAAAGTCCTGGAAGAAATGTAATCGGAGAAAACGAGCAATTTCGCATAATATTTCCCCCTCCTCTCTCTCTCTCGTCATACAAAAATCAATTATCTGAATCGCAAAAAGAAATGGAATTTAAAATAAATAAAGATAGTTAAGTGGCTTAAAAATAACAAATATAAACAATAAAGAGCATACAGCCACAACGCTTCATGTAATTTGCTTAAAACATGTATTTAATATAAAATCAGTAAACGTTTCGGGGTCAATATTTGACCATCTTCAGTACATTAAGAATATAAAGTTACACATAGAAAAGTTACACATAAAAAATTTTTATTTGATAAAATAAAATAAAAATTTTCTCTTGATACCAAAAATCGCCGCGTTCACAAATTTAATGAAAATTACAATATACAATAATACGAATTCGAACAAATAGATTTCCAACGCAGAAATTGTGAAGTTGCAAAGAACTCAGAGTCAGAATGTTATAAATAAAAAATATATTCTCGTCAAATACGTGATTACCAAATGCTATCCAAGTATTATTGAAAAACCAAAAAAAGAAAAAACCAAAAAAACCGAGATTTAAGATTTATATGTCAATTAATATGTTGATAAATATTCTTCCGAAAAGTCGCAGATTTATCTCTTCACAAAATTCCAAACAAATAGATTTTAGTTATAAATATTAACCTTGTCTAAACGTGAAATAATTATTGTTGACCAAGATATTATGACCCTATCAACTAATACGTGGTGAGCATTTCGAAAATTATTAATGACATAATGAGAATACGTTCGAAATTAATTGACATATAAATCTTAATATCTCGGTATTTTTGGTTTTTTTTTTTTGGTTTTTCAATAATACTTGGATAGCATCTGGTAATCACGTATTTGACGTGAATATATTTTTTATTTATAACATCCTGACTCTTGAGTTCTTTGCAACTTCACAATTTCTGCGTTGGAAATCTACTTGTTCGAATTCGTATTATTATATATTGTAATTTTCATTAAATTTGCGAACGCGCAATTTTTGGTATCAAGAGAAAATTTTTATTTTATTTTATCAGATAAAAAGTTTTTATATATGTGTAACTTTATATTCTTAATGTACTGAAGATGGTCAAATATTGACCCCGAAACGTTTACTGATTTTATATTAAATACATGTTTTAAGCAAATTACATCAAGCGTTGTGGCTGTATGCTCTTTATTGTTTACATTAGAAATGGAATTTGTTTAAATTCTGAAAACTTTTATGTTTATTATAAATAAACATACGTGAAAGCACAAGCGAGAACACCTTTAACGAACTTGCGTTATTAAATTTTCTTTACTTACAGATATCCAATAGCGTCCCATAGCTCTCTGCATATCGATCAGGACGCTTCTGTCTGCCCCTTTAATGCCGAAGAAGACGCGCACTCGCAATAACTTCGGCAGCGACTGCTCATTTCGCTTTGCTAAAACTTCGTTCCGAGTTCTTTCAGAAACTACTTTTTTGCCAAAGGGGAACAACCAGTTGTACGGGAATGAATAAGTGCTTCGCGGTAATTCAATTCTATCGTAATCCGTCCGTTTGTCAGATGTAACCTGCACACGGTTTTGTTATAAGATATTTACCAGTTCTCTTATTATCTTGGAGTTGATATTAAAGTTACTTTTTCATGATGAGAAAGTTAAGCAAATAAACGTTATTACTACTACATAAATAATTAAAATTATAACATTAAATAAAATAAAATAAAATAAAATAAAATAAATTAATATAAAAATAAAATACATGTTTAATTATTATATATATATATATATATGTATGTATATAGTTTATCCTCTTATTTATTATTATTTTTCAAATTACGCAAAAGATTACGAAATTCAATTAATGCCAATAATAATATATTAATAAAGAAATGTAATATTATCAATTATCTAGCCCGGTATTTATAGAACATTTCCTTTGATCCCAATTCCGGTTCTACTGGCACAAATATAATCAAGCGACGAAGTTCCGGTCGACGTGAAATTGGATACTGGATCGTACTCATCTCGTCGCCAAAGACGGCTGCCAGTTCTTGCTCGCGTCTAACCGATCGATGAAGGTACTCACAAGCTGTCAGATCGCGATTCATCGCGAAAATTCTGTATTGACTTCTCGCTGGAAACTTGAGCATTTCGCAATAACGTTCATGTTTGCAATAGATCCTTGCCTCCAAGTTGGCGCCTTTTTCTTCGCTGTTTCTTTTTTCTTCGCCGTATTCAAGACCGTCGTCGTTGCATTCGCGACCCTTTTGATGGTCCTCGTTTCGATGATAACGCGTGGTACCATCACTTTTAACCTCAAGCATATCCCCAAGAATACCAACAGTCGTGAGAATCGTTTGGGAATCAGCTCCGGATTCCCAAACCTTATATGGTAAGTCGACATCGATCTACCGCCGCAAGTAGCACATATCTTCCAGAACACCGCGTCATTGTTGAAAATCTGAAATGATTAATGAAATTTTCTTTAATAAAGAGGATTATTAATGTTGAAACATGTATAATAAAAATATAACGGGAAGACGTTATATTCGTACAGTGTAATTTTATAGCTGAATCAATCAACAAAAGCACATTACAGTTATATAATCAATATTATATCATAGACGTAATAAGAATAGAATTCCTATATGAAGTCGTTGTTATCGATTTAGAAAGAGTGAGATAGCTTGAATTATATTTTCCTCTTTTTAAATTCTTGGATTCAAGAGAGATGCTGGGTGCGGTCTATTTAGCACTACAAATACTTCGAAGTATTTGATTGACCAATTAGAAGAAAAAATTTCACTAATTGGCCAATCAAAGAATGCTTCAAAAAATTTGTAGCATCAAGTGAATCGCAGACGCTGATATGATTCAAATCTTTCTAACGAAACATAAAAATTAAAATCAAAGTATGCACTATCTATATTTATTTTTCATATAATACAAATCATTCAAGGTTAATAATATTGCAGCAACATTGTAATATTCCAACATTGTAATATTCCAACAATACTAGAAAACGTTACTGCAAACGTTGCAGCAATGTTACTGTAAGCTCTTGTATTATGTCTATGTATTACATTTATGTTACTGATTGTGAGTATGCGTACCGCGATTTTTTTACCTTCAGATTAACTTGGTCTTGCATTGAAACTTCGTAATGACCTCTTCTCAGTATATTAATGTGGAGGTTGTCAGGCATCAATAAAGTACAACTAACTACTGACTGATCATAGGACACGGTGGCATAGTCTTTGTGCTCCATGCGGAAAATCAACAAGATCGAGACCGTCCACGATCGATATCCTTGTATGTTTCTCTCGGCATTCGGTGTATGGCATGGACGAACTTTCAAATGTTTTCATAATTCCGAAGTATTACAATTCATTTTACGTCCATTCGCAAATTACTGGCTGTTCCTCTATTGTGTAACCAGTAATAATGCATGTACCATTTGATGAAAAAATATCGAAGGCAAATGATATTTGATAATAAAGAACATCAAATAAACATATTTCTTAACATATTATACTTATTTGTGTACCGGGAAATGTAACAACTAATTCCCCATTTGAATGTAGCAATGTATCAGTACCGTCGGCACGATGTGTGAATACCTCGTTGACCTCGTAATCCAACGTTGTCCTAACGAGAAATCGATCGTGTTCACTTACGACCAGATCATTCAGCACCTCGTAGCATCTACCATCGTAATTCACTACCGAGTATCGTAACACTTCACCTACGGCAAATGCTCCTGTTATCAATGAATCGTCTCCCTTGCTCTAAGACAAAATGTTTAAAGGTGACAAACATTAAATACTGTTTATCGTAACAAACTCAAAGTTCTACATATACCTTCAACTTGATTTATATAGTAAATTTCCCAAACATTTTTATATAGCCAAAAAATATTTAAAAAATTATACAATAAAACTATTTTTATTTTTCAATATAGTCGTCCTTTATTTCACAATATATTTTTTAGAACGATAAATTAATTTTTTTATACCATTAAAAAATATTCTAAATTTTTCTACTTAAAGTGATTTAACACTGCGGAGATTACTTTTTCTGGCAAATTTTTTCCACGCAGATCGGATTTTAGAAAAATGAAGAATGATCTCTATAGGGTTATAAAACATTTTAAGAATAAAATTCTGAATATTTTTAGCGGTATAAAAAAATTAATTCAACGATATGTATATAAAAAATTGTAATAAAAATAAAAGGTAACTATATTGAAATATAAAAAATAGTGTGTCACTTTATCACTCTTTTTATATGTTGAAAACTATTGGATTTATACTTTACATACAATTAAATTGTAATTTTTAGGGAAAAACGATGTAATTGTACGAAATTAAACTTATCTTTAAAATCTCAACTATCAAATCGTTCAAGTTATTTTTGCGTCCCAATTAAAACGAAACTTAACAGTCACGAATTCTCTTACTGATGGTATATGTTTCGACGGTTGCGCGTCCAGCATCGATCCGTTGAAACGCGTCTCCGTGGAATTTATGACTTTACCGCTATGCTTGGCCGCCACCGATTGCCTCGAGTTGCCCTTTCTGATCCTAAATTCTGCTGTAGAAGAATCCTCAATTTAACTGAAAAATTCTTGTTCTCTTCGTAGTTGACCTGCGTTCTTGTATACTTTTTGGGTCCGTTTCGTGGATGGATTCATCGCGCGATTGCGGCTTGTCGAAGTCCATGCAAGTCACGATGACGCCATTCGAGCGGAAGATGATGACAGTATTGTCGGCCAGATACTTTAAGACGGTACCGTTTCTGAGGAAGTTCCGACAGACTTCACGGACTGCACCTGCGCACCCGGGACGTTTCGAAACGTACGATTGTCGAATGTAAAATGGATTTTTGGTGCCGTCCCCGATGGTTGGTTTTATCAATAATCCCGAAGGCCATGAAGCACGAAAGTCGAAAGTAAAATTTTGCCAATGGAAATCGGATGAATTTTCAACTACGGAACGTAAAAGAATTATTCGAATAATAAAGACGTCTTTTTTTTACTGTCTGCCATTGCATGAGAATCATACCTGGTAAACACCAACTAAAAGTAACATAACATCAGTGTCATAATTTCACTCAAAGTAATTGTAATATAACACATGTATTACAAGATAATTAGAGGAAGGTCACCGATACCGACATACTTTGTTTTTATAGATAATATTTCTCAAATAAAAAGTAAAAATACGACTTCAAAAACATAAATACAAAGTAAAAAGTATCTTCTATCAGATAGTATAAGCAATTTTTATAATACTGTTTGCAATTTTGTAATAATTAAGTTTTTCGTAAGTTATGCAAAAATGAGCATCTGACAAAATGGGCTCCAAAACTGACACAGTAGGCAGTAATGCTACGTATTCTTATTCTTTTTCTTTTACAGGAATTATCTGTATAAAGTACCTATAAGTGAATGTATATAAAATTTTTCAGAATCATTTTACTTCGTTATAAAACATTTTTATTGAATTATATGCATATTTACTTTATGCTGTTCTGCAAGATGCAAATATGTAACGCGACAGTTTTTCTAGAGTTGTTCCATATATGCACGATTGCCTTCAGCTCCAATAGACTTATTTGACACTATAAAGCAACATTATAAAGATTAAGTTAGCCATGGTCTGTTTTACGGACAGGTGTGTTGGTTTACGCTGCACCTCATTTTTAAATTAAAAATCGTATTATGAAAAGACTAAGAGAAAAAATAATATAAATAAAACTTATTTCGGAAACTACAAGTATTTAAAATGACGTAATATTATCAATAATATAGTCACTATTATTTAAACCTCACAATTTGCAAAAGAAAATCGTAAGAATTTTATTTTCGCATTTGTAGAATTCGAATTTGTAGAAAAATAAGAGGGTGTCACTTTAGGAGACCTATCAGTATCGGCGACTTTCCTCTACATTATTGAGTGTGAAATTATAATAATACATTAGTATTATATTACTTTTAATTAATGTTTACTGGATATTTATTTTCTGACTATACCATTATTTTATAAATGTTTAATAGCTCTAAAGCGAGAGGTACTAATTACCTCTCGCTTTAGAGCTATTAAACATTTATAAAATAGTTCTCTTCTATTCCGGTAGAAACCTAACACAATTCCGTTTTTGTAGTTAAGTGAAATATGCCTGTTGAGTGACGGGGGCTAACTCTGCCAGACAATCGTGCAGTTTAGCAGAGTAACAGCGATGCGTAAATTGCGGTCTCCGTGAAGCCAGTCCTCGAGTTCAATCCGCACCGATGTATCGGCATCCAAAAGAAACTTTTTGCTATGATGAATCACTTGAACGCGAATACTTCCAAGATCGTATCCAACGAAGTCGTACGATCCGCCCGTCTCGTAACATTGAGACGATAGAATTTTTTTCATCGGCAAAAAGAACGTATCGACATCATCTATCTTTGTGTCCGATTTTTTCTTTGTCATTGACGTTTTTCCACTCATAACTCTTCCATCCGCCCATTTGCTTTCGTTGTCCGCCGTCGACTCGTTCTGCTTCTGTGTCTTGTCATTTTCTTTCCGTCGACGTTCTCCACCGCCGCCTTCTCGAATTCCTTCGTTTCGAAAATTTTCTTTCACCCGTCGCGAGTCAAACCCTTCTTTAGATGACACGCTTTCAAAGAATCCCGAAGTATGAAGCACTCGTCGTCGAATATGATCGCGTCGTCTTCCACCTCGATGGAATTCTTCATAAATCTTCCTGTCAAGTCCATCCTACGCGATTGGCGCGTCTCCTGCTCTCGTTTTATCCAATTCTCTTCTTTCTCCGCGATATATATTCACAGAATTCATGGAGTCCGATGGGCGTACATATACTTGACAAGCACCTTTCCTCGGACACATTATTCACCGCGTCGTTGTTGCTAAAGTAAAGCAGCAGCGAATCCGTCGGCTTGAAGTATCTAGCCACGAAACGATCGAAACTTTGGAAACATTCGTGGACGACCTGAAGAAAAACCCGGCTCGAGAGTAACTCAACGTCTTCGTATTCTTCGAGACTTGGTCTTTGGTAACTTCTCTTCTTGAAGACATTCTTGCACAAATATCCCGGAAGCAATGTCTCTCTAGCGTCTGTTAGCGTGAACAAAAGCGAGCATTCGGTGAATGCAACTACCGGCTTACAATAATCAATCTCGATGTCGCTTTTACAACGACGTAGTCCGGACGCAGTGGTTGGAGGTGATGTAAAATTTGGCACGCTGCATGCTCTTTTTATCGTTGATCTCATGTGTTTTAATTCTGACAATTCATCTCTTGGCTGTTGCACCAATTGCGCTCTTGCTTCGCGACTGCTGCCGGAAAAGATCAGGTCGTCAAACATCAAGAAATATAAGTAGTGTACAACTTCCTCGCGACTGATCTTTTGCTCTTGATTAAATGCACGCGCGATATTGTCCAAGTGACAGAAATACATATCGGATTTTGACCTCGTCGGTACTTCATGATTCAGCCAAATATTAATTATTCTCGGATCCCATAGAACTCGTAGAACCGCGTTGTCCAGATGAGTAGCTCTACGATCGTGGAAGTGACGGATGATCACGTTCAAAGTGTCTCCGTACGGTATAACATCAAGATCAGAAGACTGCAACGATTGGCTGGCACTGTCAGCACTGGTATCGTATTCATCGATAAGCTCGTACTCAAGATCAAGTAGTTTCAGCTTAGCCAGCATATTGAACGTAGGGCTCCGCTCAGCTGTCGTTGATGTATTCTCGTGTCTTGTATCGGCATCGCTAAATCCTGTATCGTGATCGGCAAGAAAACACCCATCGGACGAGGTCGCAAGATTGTGTTCAACCTGAAGAAGTATCGCACTCAATATCAATGGAGCACCAATATATTCGTTAGGTATGTTCTTCAATATATCATCGTAAATCTTAGTATCTACTACCTCATCTCTTTTATCAAAAATTCTTTTCTCCAGCTTCATATTTTTAAGATACTTTGCATGCTGTCGGTAAAGTTCGTACAAATGATAAAAAGTGAAAAGTATTCTATCGTATATGTCTCGCCTCAAAGACTCCTTCTCGATAGCGTTAACTGTTTCCGGGTAGACTGGTAGATCGATAGTAAGAATAGTTATGTTGGAATACATTGGATAAGCCGATAGATTAGCGAATCGTTTGTGCGTAACTCTCCAAAATTCGACTAACTTGATTTCGTTGATATGATGATCTTCAAAGAAAGGCGTTTTAGCTCGGATATCATTTCCTTTCGTTTTGCGATGCCCAATGTATTTCTCGCCGGGAAGCTTAATCTCTAATATACAGGTCAAAGGAACTCCGACGCTTAACAATTCCGCTGGTAAATCAGGATTATGAAACCCGCTAAGTACAACATAGAGATTCGGTCCATCAAAAGATACGTTACTCGCACGTGAACGTATATTCGCTTTACCATTGAATACGTATTCGGTCTTGCTACTATAGGCTCTTCGAGGTTCAATAGTGCTTCGCGAAGAAGCTGAGTAATGAAATTATTACTATTATGTAAGCCGGAGAAAGAACACGCGAATTACAAAAAAAAAAGATAATATGTTTCGCTAATTGTGATTGCGATTTATTGAGCAGGGAAAACAATAGGATATATTTATCATCTCATACGATTAGAGATGTTACCATTAAATACATATGACGATTACTATGGTAAAATTACGGTAAGATGATAATTTTGATAAAATTCTTTATTTTTTATAATTTTATGTTGAAGTAAGATGCATTCATGTTTTTCGCACTGATGTTTAAGACATAACAACATTTTTTTAATGAAAATCTCAAATCTACCCTCATGAGTTGATGTAACTGCATCTAAAAAAAATTTAAACATACTATGTATAGAAAAGAAGATTGATAATAATAATGTTAATATTAATTCAACATTACGTACTTTCCAAATATATTATGCATGAAGAGTTCTCATTAAAGATATCAAATCGACAAATCTTATTTAAAGTTTTACTGGTTTGCTATCTTTAAATGACAACTTTTCATACATAATTTACTTGAAAAGTAGATAATGTTGAACTAATATTCTTAATATTATCTGACCTCAAATTTCTGTATACAGTACGTTCAAAATTCTTTTGAAATATTTTTCTAATTACTGTGTATCTAATTTCCTAATTACTACATATATATAGTATACCGCTATGTAGTATCAAAATATTTAATAAAAAGTATTTTATAAGTTAAATAAAGTATTTTAAAATTCAAGTAAACATCAAAAAGGACGTATAAGAGTCAACGTGTTAAAAAATATAGATGTCACATAATAAATATTATACAAATAAGATTTAATAAGAATTGAAAAACATTACATGTTTTGGCTTTTTATTAAGCCTTCTTCAAATGCTACTTAACAAAATTTACGCAATTCTTTAGGATATCCATTATTTAGTCGATAATTTACGATGGTACATGGTAACATTGAGAGTTTGATGAGTGCCTTCCAGGAGAACGAAACATCCTTCTCAATCGATTAACAAATCGAATGTTTGAACGTTCTAGATATTACATATGTTATAATTTAATGTTGTTTGTAATGATAGAAGGAAAATCGTTAAAAATTATATCTCTTTAACACACTTACCGTACACCAACGAACATCTCATTTATGAAGGAAACATTTACACGCAGGTAACATAAGTCAAAGCGTATAAAATTCGTAGATATCATCAGTTAACTTATATAAAATTTCGTAGATAAATTGAGTCTTAGAATAAATACATTGCAAGTGAAATAAAATTTATTCACAGTCCAAAAGGTAAAAAATTGAATTATAAAACATCAGGAGACTGAACCAAGAATATGTTATCCATAAGACTTCACACGAACACTACTGATTTTAATTCTCGGAAGATCGATAAGTTACAAAGTCAGACTTTGTTTATAATAGGTATATATGCCTTGTTAAAACCTTCTGTATCAGTTTGGAGATTTAGACCATTGTGCTGTTTTTTAATGTTCATCATTTCAGAGATGAGTCGTTTATTATAGCATGATTCTTCGTCCAAAATTTTAACATTGTCCCAATCAAATTCATGTTGTATCTGCAACCTATGATCAGTTATTACAGAACGGGTGGTTGTGTTCCAATTAATATGATTGCGATGTTCTGTAATTCTTGTTTTTAGTTGCCTACCCGTTTGTCCAACATAGGTTGCATCACAATCTATGCAACAAATCTTGTAAACAACGTTGAATCTGAACGATTGTAAACGACGATCCTTTTGAACTTTAATAAATTTGTTCAATTTATTGGTACTATGGAAAGCTACTTTAATATTTTTGTTATCGATCTGTTTGAATTTGTCTGTATGACCAGGAATGAAAGGCATCACGAACCAAGATATATCATTCTTCGAAACTTTATCGTCATTCTTGTCATTCCGTGTTATAAACTTCCTCTTATTAATGCTTTCAATTCTGTTATTAATATTGTCAAAAATAAACTTAAGAGGGTAATCATTGTAAAGTAAAGTATTAATTATGAAAATTATGTTTTTTACGTGATATTCTTTATTAGAAAAGTAATAAGGCTCTGTCTACTCTAAATTAAAGATTATGCCTCTTTTTTTATGAAATGGGATGGTTTGAGAAGACGTTAATAAATCTGCCCGAAAAAGTTGGCTTTTATACCAATAATATACCAATTAATATGTAGTCGTTCATTTCTAATCATCATTTTCACATCGAGAAAGTTAAGAACATCTTCTCCAATTTCTAAAGTAAATTGTAATCTTATATGAACAGAATTGAAGCATTCTACAAAAGTATCTATCTTTTCATGCGGAACTGCGGCACATAGATCATCCACACATCTGTGTAGTAAAATAAAACTTGACTGTTAAACAAATTTAGTGCTGTTTTTTCTAATTTTTGCATGGCCAAGTCCGCGATGATAGGCGAAAGTGGAGAACCCATGGGAGTGCCGAAATTCTATTTATAAATTATCTTATTGAACATAAAATAAGTTGAACCTAAAACTAATCGAATTGCTTTCAAAAATTTTTCTTTAGGTAAAACGCATTTCTTTGAAATGTGATTCCAATTGTCACCAACACAATCTATAGCAATGTCAATTGGAACGTTAGTAAAAAGTGAAATCACATTTAAAGATATTAATTTATGATTATTATTCACTTTGATATCTTCAAGAAGGTCAACCAATTGAAAACTATTGCTAATATGACTCTCTGCTTTCGGTGAAGATTGTATTAATATGTGATGCAAAAATGACGCAAAATTATGTAACGGACTACCAATTGATGAGACAATAATTCTAAATGGGCAATTCTGCTATATGAATTTTTGGTAATGCATATGCTAATGGCAACGTTCCATCACTACAGTGTAGATGTCTATATTGAGACGCATCGATATAGTTTAAATTTTTCCAATTGACAAGCACACTTCTCAACGATGTTATTAGTTTTTTGCAATCTCTTTTTATTATTTCATAAGTATCCGTGACATTAAGCATCTCGGTTACCTTACTTATGCAAAAATCTTTGTCTAATACTACTGTAACATTACCTTTATCTGCGCGAGTGAAAATGATATTCGGGTGTAATTCTATAAACTTTTTAGTACTTAATTCTAAATTTGTCAAATTATGGTCAATGGGAGAGTTAAACAGGGAAGAAGAGGCTATGTTATTGAGAATATAAATTGAGTGATTGATTATGTCTACTTTTTTGATAATAGGAAATTTTCGAGTGCTGTGTTCAATGCTCTTGATACAATTAGTAATGACGTTTCCCTTATTTCTATTAGAAAGAGCAAAATTATTGCCTAACTGCAAAAGACATTGAATGTCATGAGGAATGGAAACAGATGAAAGATTGACGAACCATTTTTCCCTAACAGTAGACAGAGAATTTGAAAAATGTGAATCATGAAAGGAATCAGGAAAAATGGACTGAGGAATATCCAAAATATTATTATTAAGGGATTGAGAATCAATGGGTGTAACACATAAATTTTGAGAAGGAAGTTTCATCGTGGAAACAAGATTATTATTAGCAACAATTTGTGATCTGTCTGTATTATGTTGTGAAGAAATTTCATGTGAATTTTTGTTCAACTCAATCGATACCTTGATAGGTTTAATGTCACGAAGGATGTACTTTTTCTGTTTATGTGTATTTAGAAACTCATCGCAAATATTAATAGGTAAGTAATAAGACAATGTGCTTGCCAAGTAAAGAACCTTTCTTTTGTAATAATCATTCTTTCTATGAGTGTCATTAAGTTCTGTCAACAACGTTTTCTTAATAAAAATTTCTTTGTAGTGTTGGAATTTGCGAGAAGAATTATGATGATGGAAATTAATCTTACAATTTATCGATCTTTCTAAGTGTCGTGATATGATATGATTTTGCCTAATACAATCTTTTAGGAATCTAATGTGTAAAATACTTTTAAGGTTAAGTCTACGAAATTTTATCCATGATTTGAGTAATCTAGTTGTATGATTACCAAAATTTACTCTAATAAAGTCAAAATATGAAAAATGTGCAGAACGCATAATTACAGTCAGCGTGAAATTAAATTAAAATATAATAAAAAGAATCAGGACTCTTAAATTACAAAATTCAAATAAACATCAAAAAGGACGTATAAGAGTCAACGTGTTAAAAAATTATAGATGTCACATAATAAATACAAATAAGATTTAATAAGAATTGAAAAACATTCAAACATTCAATTTGTTAATCTATTGAGAAAGATGTTTCGTTCTCTTGGAAGACATTCATCGAACTCTCAATGTTATCATGTACCATCGTAAATTATCGACTAAATAATGGATATCCTAAAGAACTGCGTAAATTTTGTTAAGTAGCATCTGAAGAAGGCTTAATAAAAAGCCGAAACATGTAATGTTTTTCAATTCTTATTAAATCTTATTCGTATTTATTATGTGACATTTATAATTTTTTAACACCTTGACTCTTATACGTTCTTTTTGATGTTTATTTGAATTTTGTAATTTAAGACATTTCCTGCTCCTTTTTATTATATTTTAATTTAAAGTATTTTAATTTATTTATCTCAAAGGCTAAATACTTCTTTTGAATTTTGTATCAAAATTTTTAGTTTTTGTAATTTTTGTTAAATTAGGTACTATTTTATCACTTAACTTCCCAAAATTACTTGACAATTTACCATAATTTATCGAGTAAGTTACCGTTAAATTGGGCCATTTTTATCTCCACATATGACATAGCTACATATTGTTAAAAACTTGTCTTTAATGTTCTTGAAATGAAAAAAAATGACAACTGGCATATATCGTTTATTTGAGCTATCAGTATTCTGAATTGCCCGACATTCTTCATTAATTTTGCAGTCTAGATCCGCCTCTACTTTAAGTCTTCCAACGTACTTGGTTTTGACGCGATAGATCAGATACTTTATGAGCCGTGCAACCAGCCAAGTAGAGAGATGGCCATTGTTTTCGCTTAAGACCGTATTCGCGTAATGACAGATACTCTCGACAGCAGGACATTTCTCTGGATCTTGTTTCGACAGCGTTTTCACAGTGTCTATCGTTTTCTGATAACTGAGGGAATAAATACACGCCTGCTCTTCTTCTTCGACGGTTTCACTGAAGAGAGAAATGTAGCGGCTGTGCTCGACAAATGTCTCCACCATCATCGTTACTATACACCACCAATGATCATCGTTGATTAATATGTAATCTAACACTACACCAATCATTCTTATCATGTATCTTTGTTATACTTTTCTGACTTTTGTTAACAATGTGTTGAATTTTTTAGATTTCTTTTTCATTTAGAGGTTATTTTATAATATTTGAGAGCACCCAGACACAATGATCACACGTGAACGTATCAATAAATGAATAAATCATCGAATGAATGTGATAGTGCCTATATCTAATTTTTATCAAAGAACGAGCCATGAAAATAATAAATTATGTAAGCATTGTATCGTGGAATAATAAATTCTTTGTGTGTGAAAATTATTTATTTTAATATCATTACACACACATATATTCAGTGTAATGATATTAAAATTATATTTATTGCACTGAATATATGTAAGAATTATGTAGTTATTCAAATTAATTCGAATTTTTGTACTGATTAATTCAAAATGTATTTTATAATTACGGAATTTATTCGAAAACAGAGTTTATGCAGTATAAAACGGCGCATGCAGGAGTTGTAGCGGCTCATGCCCGGCTAAATGTTGCAGAGAGCGATCAGTTCTTTTTTTTTCTGCTAAGGGATAAAAGTAAATCGAGCATTTCACAACGGGGACACTGGTAATGGAAAACGTATTACCGGAGTCGTAAGTTTCGTCAGTAGGGACATGGGTTCCGACATTATAACACGGATGTGCAGGCTGTACTTAACGACGAAACTCTGTGGAAACTGTAATTTTCGTGCGAGGGGACGAAAAAGTAGTCGATGCTGTGCACAGTACGGCCGTGGCGCGGAACGCGTGTAAAATACGATCATGGTAAAAAAAAATTTAAACAAATGGGATGCCTAAACGTGCAAAGTTACGCTTGAAACTGTTTTCGCATGTATACCTCGGGCTTTCGCGAGGCAAGCGCGATGCGATGTTCGTCAAAATCATTGAACATTATCGATAAATGCAAATGTGCAGATATATTGCTTGTTATATATCTCTCGCATTATAAAAATAAAAGCTAGACGAAATATTTTCTACAAAATTTTTGTTACATTATATTAAAATATTTGTAGTATAATAAAAAGTACTCAAATATTTTTATAATTTTAATTAAATTGATATTCTGCTATAATTCCAATTCTCCAATGGAAGCACCGCCTATTAAATTTACGTATATTTGGAAACGCTGGGCAATTTAATTAAAATGTATACAGCACGTATGGATGCTCTATCATTCGGACTTTATCACAAAATAGAAGCGCACAAGATTATATTATTCCAGTTGCCGGGAAAATGAGCGAAAATTATAGAAAGAGATAACTTAAAGATATATATTGTAAACATGTTTATAATGGAGATCTCAATATCCGCGAAAACTCTACCAGCGTGAATAATGATGAGATTAGTTTCTCTCATTTCTTTAAATCTTTGTCTTTCCTCCGTTACTCAACATTGACATCTGTTTTTTTCTTTTTATCGCTTTACAAACTATATCAATCTCCATTAATGTCGTACATCAAATTCTCAAAAATCCTGATAGATTGAAACAAATTTGAATTTATGAGAAACGTTTCTGCAATATGTGACTCGTTTCTACGTATGGTTTCATTATCGCTCTGTTAAATTCATTACGTTTACAGGAAGGTTTGTCGGAGATAGATGTGCAACGCACAGAATACGGGGGCTTTAATTAAATTTGATAATGGAAAAGTTTATTGAGTCGCAGCAGAATTGGTAAGAGGAAGAGGGAAAAAGATACGCTAATTGGCCGACAGTTTTGCGTCCAGCTAGCACGCAGTGTCATAACAAAAAGATCTACCTATCCACCCTCTTTATATCTCAAAACGGTGCGAGCACGTTCACGGTGCCGCGTGGCAAGCGAGAGGTTTGATTTTAATTAAATCATAATGTAGTTTTGCTGGGTGCATAGCTCTGTACACGACTGCGCTGTGACTCCAAGGGCCCAGCCTCTCCATCGTGCTCGCGTCTAAAGCGCGCTACGAAAGCACGTCGTTATCTCAGTTTAGTTCCGGCGTGCTGTTTTCGGAGAAGCGCTGAAACAACGAGGCGCATCGCGATAATGACCGAGGTACTCGAGGTACCATTCGCCACATCTAATTCCCTTAATAAACAAATCTTTATTACTCACCTGTACAATAGAAAAGATACAATTATATTACATAGTCACGAAATAAAAATAAACTCTGTTTTTATTCATTAATGTTTGTTCGTTCGCTGGCGTCGCTATCTTATATACGACCCATAATTCTGTTTCTTTTTGTGAAGGAATTTGTCCCATTTTTCCTTAGATAAACGAAGACCATTTGCAATTAACGCCACTCCTGCAATGAAAAATTTCTCTCTGCATAAGTAAATTTCCTATCCTTTAAAACAAACATAAAAAATTTACAGATTGGCCAATTATTTAACTTTCGTCATGTTTTTTCAAAAAATGAGTGGTCACTAAAGCCGAATCATGTAATATAGTGACAATTACAAAAACAAATATTCACATATGACGGTAGCAGAGATTACGTTTGCGTGAAAATATTTTCATTTCTCATAATGCGGTCAAATGCATAATGTATTTCGAGGTAGTGAATATTAATTAAATTCATGTAGAATACATGAGGATGATATTTCACCATTTCGCTTACTATGAGGAGTATCTAACGTTACAGAAAATATTCTACTAGTAATTTCTTTATCTTTCACTATTTATATATGTTTATTTAAGAAACTGAAATTAACTTAAATTAAAATTTAAACTTGAGGTACCCTCTCTATTGTCTTCTCTACGTAAATTGTTTATAAAGCGTCTGTCATGATTAGAGGGGAACATTGTCTTCACTCGTTGAATTGTGATAACAGTTATCCACGTCTTGAGAATATTATTGAAAGTTCATTGTAACACAGATATTTTTTATTTATTGGTTTTTAAATTAAATTAGTATAATCAATTAACAACATTCATGTTATTAGAATCAGGAAACTTTGTGTGCAATAATTAAAGACAAATCGTGGATGATCTCATTAATCGTAATATTAAACAAATTCTACTGGAGCATAAGACGAAACAAAATTTGGACTATTTACACTGTTTTATTTAATTCTTCTGAGAAAATTTATTTATTTTAAACGAGCGTTTTGACGTGATCAATTTTATACGATATAACGTGTTTTAAATTCAAAATTGTTTGTCGAATATATGCATATGCGTAGGAAAATGATGTTAATACTGAAGATGGTCTAATGGAAGACCGAAACGTTTATTTAAGTGAAATCAATTGAAAGATTAATGTAATTCAATTGAAATATAAAATAATAGCGTCTAACATCTGGTGGTTTTATGCCTTTCAAATAATTCTCTGTTTAAAATTTAAACGCTTATTATGTTTTAAACAATGACAAAATAACGGTAATATGCAAGCTTAAAATAGATGACAATTTTATTAATCTAAAGTTAATTCCATATACTATTCGAAACGTTTCGACTCTTATAGTATCTATTTTCGACCATCACACAGATAGCACGTGCTGTGGAGCGTTTTATACAATTTACACATCCTCTCAGAACAACTTTTAATTTTATAATTAGTCATGACGTTACTCTTTTTAATTATTGATTTCACACATGGCGCCTTCCTCTCTTTCGTTACTTGAACGAATAAAAAAAAGATTATTACTAACATTGAGGATACAATTGTGACATTATCGAATTAAATCATGACTTCTTTCGACTACATTGCACCATGCGTTATACATCATGCGGTACTTTTTTAACTGACAGCGATAGTTATTTAATTTATTTTTAATTTAATTTGTTTCTATAATTTAATTTTATTTGTAACGACTGAAGAGGACTACTGTAAGAGCCGAAACGTTTCGAATAGTATATGGAATTAACTTTAGATTAATAAAATTGTCATCTATTTTAAGCTTGTATATTACCGTTATTTTGTAGAAATTAATTTAATTACATTTAAATAAATTTAAAGAGAAGTAAAGATTTCTTGAATACCTGAATAGAATCTGAATAGAATTTAAATTGAAAATTTCAGTAATTCTATTTTATCATCGCGTCGTTGTATTATAAAAAATATACTATTAGTCATATTTCCCAATATGAAAAATAATGTATATAAAATTTTCTTTAATTTCTATCAATATGAAAGATATCAACATGAAAGAACAAATAACCGGAAGATGGAAATGTATTAGATAATGTTTAAATAAGAAAATAAGTTACCATAAAAATCAACCAATAAATAAAACTGTTATTATAACAAGTAGTAGGTATCGCATTTTCAAGTATACAACTTAGTCTTTCTCTTGCAAAAACTTTATATATTTTCTTTTGTACTTCTGCATGAAGGCACGCACTCTCAGCGTGCGGAAATAGTTTGACAATTGAGATGCAAAGGAAGAGAGTACGAAATACTTTCTTTGTAGGCGAAGCACCGAAGTAGCCAGCAAACTTCTCGAGTTATAAAGACTGAGAAGTATAAACTTCTATATATTAAACTACAAACAACACTTTACTGTGTAACTGTTCAAAAAAGTATACAGATAATAAAAATTAATCAAAATCGGAAATTTTCGGAAATATAATGTAACCAATTCACATATCGGATTACACTTCCATTATCGTTTTGATATCACAATTATATATTCAACCAAATAATTACAGCGTTGCAATTATGATGCTTTTTAATTTTGTGCCAATATGTCACCATTGTTAATAGCCATAAAATTGTGTGCCATAGTCATATTTTATGATTATACCGTAAGAGAGATAATCTTTGTGACAATAAATTGACTCAAATAAAGAGAAACAAACAAAGGAAGAAAGGGAAAAAGAGAAAGAGAACCAATTTAATATTACAATATTGTTAAACGACATAACATAATTAATAATACGATTAATGTATGGAATTCATGTGGTTAGGCATGCAAATTAATGCATTATTAAGTGTTAATCTATTGTAGTATTCACTGATTTTAATATTATATCAACAATAAATTATGTTTAAATTGTTGACTCGATTAATCGATGAGTACAGATTAATAACACCCTCATAGAATGAATTGAATTGTTAATGAATATCAATATATGCTAGTGATGTTCCATGTTTTCACTTACCACTCTCTGTACAGTGTGTCCCATTTTAAATAATATATATTTAAATATATTACATTTTATCTTTGCAGATCACTATTTAAATACAATCATTTTAAAGAGAGAAAAAGAAAGAGAAAATGTTTTTGTAATAATGTTTTAAACAGAGATTTGTTAAATTTATTTTTATGAATATCATTATACATATTAAAGCCTTAAAGTAAAGTTTCAATATGTGGAAAAATAAATATTTTAAAAGTTATTTTACATTTTATCGCGCGCGCGCGCGAAATATATCAAGATTAAAAATACATAACATTCTGCTCCTTGAAAAATCAAATTGTTTAGAATAATTTTTTGAAATTATTCTTTTTCAGTTCTAGACGTATTTTTTAAAAACGGAACATTTTGTATATCTCTAGAAGATGGACCGCAACACTTATTCTGATTTCTGTTGTCAGAATTCCTATTCCATGATCACCACATGGTCAATCAGTGGCTTTAACTCACTTGCAGGCGAGTGCTCAAGAGTACAAACTGTACTTGTTTAAAGACAGATTTGCTTCGCTTAACATATGTCAGTAAACAAAGTAAAATATGTACGGAATTCTCATGTCGCTAGAAACAATTACTAAAGCAATTACGTAAAGTAACATTGCACTTAAATTCACTTCTATAATACTGTAATTAATTTAAAATCTATAACTGTAATTAATATTGTTTTTAATCTAATATGAAATAGATTGTGCCGTAAACTTACTAAATTGTAAATTTAATTGAATTATCTATAATTATTTTAATCTAAGAGAGAGAGAATAGAGAGCACATATGAGTAATATTCTATTTAAAATGTTCAAATTTACTAAAACTCTAAGCTCTCTGTTGAATGATCTTTTTTTTTAATTCAAATCTTTTTTTATCAATAAATGATAAATAAATAATAAGTTGTTGATTAAAATCTATGAATAATATTATAATCAATTTAACGAGAAGAAAGTGAAAATAAGGATCAAGTCATTACAAAATTACTATATTTACTTATGATATTAATAATATGATAGTATTCCACGTCAATTTAACGAGACTATTTCAAATTAAACGGTCATTTAATTGACCGCTGCTCAGAGAATCGATTTTGAGATAGTTGTATGGCCGGATGAGCGGATCTATGAATGAACGGGATTGGGTCAGTTTTCGGGTGGTATCAGAACTGCAGATATTGTAGGTAGGAACGATGATAGGTAAGCCGACGTAATGCGTCGTCCCATTTAAACCCGGAAATGTAATGAGGTGGGAGGCAAAGGGAAACGACAACCCAATGGCGAATGAGAGGAGAATAGTTGGTGTCGGCCGTGCAACCGATTTGCCCGAGCGATAGTTTGAGTTTGAGCGAAGCACCGGCGTGTTCCTGGCGATGACCCTGCCGGGAAACTACGCTCTACCTTGTGAACCCGACAAGGACCACTTATCTCCCGAGGCTAAATCCTAGACCAAGTTTGGTACCGTAGTCAGGATTGGCCTTCCACGACTACGAACTCGAAGCGAGCCAGCTACTCGCTATTAAGCTGTACTCCATGCAGCCTTGCATCTTTGCAGATCACCATGACCTGGCCACAAACCGCGAGCTAACTATCCTTCGTAATTGTTTCCATTTAGCTCTTTGTATTGTTTATTGTCGAACTTGTGATGCGGCAAATTGGAATTGTGATACAAAAATTGTCTTTTTTTTTTAAACATAGAATATTGTGTAAGCCAAGACTGAAAAGAAGCAATGGAACACGAAAAGAATGATTTTGCTGAAGTATCTTAAAATTTAGCTATTATAGATACAGATCTGAAAATAATTTTGTTGGACCATTACTCATCAAAATAATTATGTAAAATGGTTAAACTGGTTGCTAAAATGTCAAAACTTCTTGCAGCATTGTTTATTATGCTTGAGATTCCTATTTAATTATTTTGATGGTTCGTTACAATTATTATTTTTAAGTCTATATATAGATTTTTAAATAATTTAACAGAATCGTTCTTTCCATGAAAGAATACTACAATGACATCAAAGTTATTTCTTAAAGTTGCAAGTGCGAATATAAAGAATTACTCTGTAAATAAAATTTTCTTTGCGTATGACGTTTACTGAACAAGATTGCCGAGCACCATTTGTCTCCTCGAGCAAAATGAAGACTAGGGCGGCCTACTAACACAGCAAACTGCGTCGGGCAATGCGGTAGCCGACTATACAAGCCATTAAACCGATCTTGCACCTCTGCATGTTGCAAAATCTCGTTTATCGACCGTTAACGTATACGTGTCCAAAATTGATTTGATTAATTTGGCAAAAGCAATTTTATTTCTTTATATAGAAATAATTATAAAATAGATATTTTCTATTAATAACTATTTGATCGATATCTGAGGCCGCTAAATATTTATATGATTTTTAGCTTTCGCGAGAATGTATTTAAACGTTAAAATAGGTTTAATATGACTTCGAGTATACGACAATTCTAAAAATATATTAATCTTTAATTTTCTGGGGAGATGTATTCTTCAAACAAAGCTGTTTCATGTACGAGTACTTTATGCGTGCACGTGTTTCTGAAACCGATAAATTATTCAATAGATGAAATATGAGCGAATAAGATAAAATTATTCGCTGCCTCTAGAGGTGCAGAGTTAAGCTCGTAAATATACAAAGTCATTTTAAGGATAAATACCTATATTGTTTATATGAATTGCAAATCTTTATACTTGTTTAATTTATTATTCAATTAATCGATCATTACGCGTGATATTCTTGAAATATTTTATTTCCTTTGAAAATAAATACATAAATAAATTTAATTAGATAGAAATTTCAAATGGAATAAATATACAGTAAAGCCTTGGATATCTATAAATAGTTTCTGATCTTTAATTAAAATAAATAAATAGATATAAAATGCAGACGCGATAACTACAATCTTAATTTAATAAGAAATTATGAATATTTTATTAATGAAAAGTGTATTTAATTATGGAACTTAGGATAAAGTTACTCATATTAAGATGGAAGTAAAGTGAGTTTGCAAATAGAAGATTTTATAATTTATCCAGTGCTTAATAGCTTTGAAGGATTAATAGCACGGAATGCATAAAAGAGTGCTTTTCAAAGAACTGCTACAAGAAATTTTTTAAATCGTTTACATTTATGTCTTCATATAAATGCGATGCAATACAGACTAGAAAATAAAAGCATTAAACTTTGAAAAAATAAAGGAAATTTATTCTACTAGTAATTTATATTTATAATTAACAGCACTTCTCTCATAAAATACAAAGTAAATTCTTCAACGTGAAAGACAAAGCCAATTTAGGTTATCTTTAATGATATCTTGTTACAGTATTAAAAAGAATATCAACGTTATTTTTTATGGAATTATAGATTACGGAACGATTTAGACATTTAAGTATAAAATTTATCATCCAAACAGAATGATGAATGCAGTTCAGTCTTGAGTTTTTGTCTCAAGTGTATATTACCTTATAAAAAATGAGAAACAATAGCTTTCTCAAATTAAAGGGTGCCGTTTCATTCCGTGAAAAAATTTTTCTACCACAAGAAAATATTTCCTCTAAAAATTACAACATTATGTATTTTATGACAAAACTGTATAAAACCATGTGTAAAAAAAATAAATGTTTCGTATTTTTCAACGCCGTACTTTCATCCAGCACGAAGTTTTCACGCGTAGGATAAGAAAACAAAACATTTTTGTCAATCTACGTAACTACGATATATTTGTTTCATCCTTTTTTCACAATATAATAATAGTTTTAAACTTTTTTAAATGTAGAACAATTGATTACTGACAAAAAATGTGTAGGTATATAATTTAACGAACATATATATAATCCCTGACACAGACGACGTTAGTAAGACAGATTTAATCGCTACACCAATCGATTCCATAAAATTAGATGGATTGCCACAGCTATCAAGCCTTTCGTTATCTTCATACATCCGTGCGTGGATATATCGAACATTCATAACTGCGAGCGATAAATGGATATCGGCACACATATCGTCATGCTTGGCCAAGCTGGCCAGACGGAGATATATCTCTGCGTGTATATTGAAACGTTCCATGTGGAACAAAGTACTGTAAACTTCGAGTGACTGGATTTTAATTAAATTCATATCGATCGCATTTCAGTCCCCAGTTTACACCTTGGTTATTTTTAATATCTCCACATTCGAACTTCAATTTTAGAAACAAAAAGCCCACTTCAGTTTTCCAAGTGGCATACGGTGCACCAGCGAATACGTTGTGTACCGAAATATGTCAATAGATACATTTGCAAATAACGTACACAAAACAAAAATCGCATTGGTATGTGTTACAATTGATTTTGACAGTATTTATTAGAAAAAATCAACCATAAATAGGAGTACTATAAAAATGAAAGTACATATTAAAATTAGGTTGACATATGCTTAAATTCATGTAATAATATTTGTAGCCACGTTAATATCTTGCTTTTTTTACAACATGTATTTTTGCAATTGCAATTTTCAAGAATCTATCATGAATAGCTTTTTCACAATTTTGTACCAAACATTTACAATTTGTTTAAACGAATAACGAATTATATACTGACACTTGTGAATAGCGAATTATATACTGACGCGAGTGCCAACTACCGTACGAGATTCAATGAACAGGTCCGATTCCAAGGATTAGGGATACAAGGCACATTGCATTGTATACCTCGAGAGTATCTAATGGCAGAATCGGCTACTGGCTTAAACTACATCATTAGCTAGAAATTCTAATCCTAATGCGATTTTGTAATACCATTGATGTAATAATTGCTCTGTCGAAAGTCATGTATTAATCAATAATCGAATCTTGCTTTATAACTAATTATCGAAATGCATAATTGTGGTATAAAAGTATTCATTCAATTTTACTACGAGAATAATTTGTAAAATGCGAGAAAGATAGGCGAAATTATGTTATATTCCTGTTCATAAAACATCGATTTTCAATCTCTTCAAATTTTTTATATAATTATCGGTAAATTATTATACAGAGCATAATTGCACGATGAGTAACAATGTAAAAGATGCAATGAAGAAGAATTTCGCTAAATAATTAAAATCCGGATTTTAGATGTAATAATTGTTTTACCAAAAATCACGTGCCAGTAATCGAATCTTGTTTTCCGATGTTATCGGAATGCGAAACATGACGTAAAAAAGTAGGTGTTCATTTAAATTCACAATTCGAGAGTAAAATGGGAGACTAGGAGACGAAATTTTACGTATTTCTGTCCATAGAACATCGATTTTCGATCTACAAGTCTTTAAATATAATTATCGGTGAATTATACTAATTTCAAGCATAATTGCATGGCGAAGTAATGCGGAGAATGCAACGTAGAGAAAGATTCTGTTAAATAATTAAAGTTTGGTATTTAGATATAATAATTACTCTGCCAAAAATCACATGCATTCAGTAATTGAATCTCGCTTTTCGACAGTATCGGAATGCAAGACTGATGTAAAGAAGTATTTATTCAAGTTCATAGTACTACGAGAGAGTAATCCTCAAAATGCGAGAGGAGGAGGCGAAATTGCGCGTATCTGTCGATAAAGCATCGATTTTCGATCTACAAGTTTTTTTATATGATCATCGGTAAATTACACTGAGCGTGATTGCGTGGCGAAACAACGCGAAGAGTGCAATGTAGAGAAAGATTCCACTAACAATAAGTAATTAAAGTCCGGATTTTCCTCATGGGAAATATAGAAGTATGCAAATAAGTGGATTAACGGACGAAAATGTGTTTGGTTTATTAACTTCTGCTGTTATTATCGGATTGCTTTTACCTCGAATCCCTCATTAATTCATCGCTTGGCGACTGGGATACTCTGTAAACTGTGTAGAGATTTACATAATATACATAGCTAGTAGTGAAATTATATATCTTCTAACATGAAATAATCAAAAAGATTATATAAATACAGTAGATACGGTGTAAAAGCTTTAATTTGTCATTATTAAGTATAATGAAGCGATATTCATCTGCACTGCGTTAGAAGTAATGATACTTTGTCACTGTCAACTTGGCCGATTAAGAAGATAGAAGGAGACGAGCTGCGCGAATGGGCGGACAAGTGGAGTAAATCTACGATTCGTTTAAGCTGGAAAAGTCTTTTAGACAATTGAATTCATTGTCAGGATGAGGGAGAGGGGAGGAACCTCTGCCGGAGGAAATACGCAGAGAAGTTCTTGCCACCGTTGATACAAGCAATTAGATGGAATGGTAACTAAAATTGGATCGTTTGTGCGAAATATAGTTTATAATTTTAATAAGATAGATAATAGTTAATCCAAAATGCATATAAAATTTCTCATTATACAAACATTAAAAATTTCTTTATCAATAATATCGTTTGATAAATATAGTACCATTTAACGTAAAGTTGGGTTCAGAGAACGCTAAAGTCAGATTCTCTCAGGAACAATTCTACTACATGCTACTTTCAGAAGCGAGAAGAACTAATGCGCGGAAAATCCACAGCTCGTTTCAGCTCGAACGATACCGGAAACTTAATTTCATTCGTCTGACTTGAAGGAGAATTCAAGAGAGCAGAGTCGAAATGCGGGAAAACTCTGAAAGCTTACGACATTCGTACTATTCGCGGAACATTTTTGTGTGACAGTCCATACTCGTAATTACTTTTGGTCCACGTGACTCGTCCCTACTACCCTTTCGCTGCCATAGATGTTACTTGATCGATAACATTTGGCATGTGTTTGCCAAATTCTTTACTTTTTTTGTAACGTAAAGCAATGTTTTTGCCTTGACACATACACCGTTAACTTTTTAAAATAAAACAATTTCGAGAAAACAGATGTATATGAAATTGTCATTACTTTTAAATTTAATTGCGAACATAATCTAGAAAAATAACACCACAGCTAGCAAAGACAAATTGTTCTCCAGGGTCGTTTTCTTCATCGCAATTGTGTGCGAGATCGTAGAAAATATAAAAATATAAATGTAATATTTTCTTACTTTAATGCAGTCGTTTAATGGTTCCTTCTGTCCCCCATAAAGACAACAGCGGAAATATAATGTACAATCGTTCCGCGTTTTCCATTCTACATTTCCAGGCTCTTAGTTTTTCAATATATAGAACACGTGAAATTACTTCCTTTTACACAATTTTATTTGCTGTTTTTATCGGATATTACAGATACATAAATTTTCTGAGAATTGAAAAGCATGATATGACTATCAACGATCGCCAATGTTACTAAAAAATACTTTGCTGGCTTTAAATAATCGAGTAGTTTACATGTAACATAAAGTAATTAATGAAAATACAGAAGAATTATTTCGTATCGTTATAGAATTGTCGAAAACATTCACGTTCTAAATTTGATACAAAAAAGTTAAATTATGACAAAAAATATTTTATAAAATTTAAAACATCAAAAGAATAGAGACATATGGGCTAACACTGAATAAAACTCAAATGCAATATTTCCGCATATAGATTGCCATTCCCTCGACAAGGCATCGTGTCACACGTCCAACTCCAATTTAACTCGTTTTTGAATTCAAGTCCGACAGTGACAGTGATTCGTTCGTCGATAAAGCAGAAAGGCTGCGCAATAACGTCATCAAGAAATTAATGTATTAATTTACAGCTTTCATCGATAAAGAACGAGAGATTAAAAAGATATATAAAACACAGAGCAGTATAATATGTCATACGTACATATATACATGTATATAAGGATGTTTCAAAAATTATAGTACAATCGGGAAGCAGGAGATTCTTCGTGTAAAAGTAAATCTAAGATACAATAAACAATTTTTTTGTATAAATATATTCAAAAATATTTTAATTAATAAAATAAATACAGATATATTCAATAATATTTTAATTAATAAAACAAATATATTATTGAAAACTTATTGTACGTATTATTTTAAATTATACTAAATGTAGTCTAACGTAGAAATAACGATAAATAGTCAAATTGAGTAAACCAAGCAGACTGTGACTAACACGTGTACTTAGCAAATATTCAAATTCTATTTTATCTAAAACAGAGCTATATACGGAAAAAATTTATTGTATATTTCCGATTTACTTTTAGATAAAAAATTATTTCTTTCTCGGTTACATTCCGATTTCCGGAACATCCTACATGTATGTATAAGTGTATGTGTGTATGTGTATATATTTGTGTGTATAATAAAGTTTTTCATACTTTTGTAGGACATCGTTGTATCGGGGGACAGAGAGGCTTCGCCATCTAACCCACTTTGACCGCGTTCCTGTGACCGCGTGAAAACGCGTTCCAATTCCAGTAACGACGATTTACGGCTGACGTGCCCACCGTGACTATCGTCGAAATTTCAAGCAGGCTTGCTCGCAAACTTCCTAATCGCCCACCACAACGGATCGAACCGTCTATGCAAAGAGATCGATGAGCTCACACTTTGTTTTGTAGCGCAGGAATAAGACAGCTGTCTAAACTTTCTTCATAAATTGAGAATACACCGGTGTGAAAATTTCAGGACGAATGATAGACGCGTCAATATATAAACGATTCCGTATCACATACTAAAATCTAATCGCGCAACGCGTGATCTCGTAATCGCGAAATTTCTTTTCTTTCCACGTACATTTTCACGACTATTTCGAAGTAGAGAGAGAGAGAGAGAGAGAGCCTAAGTAATAAATGT